CGTAAGGAAATGTCTGCGCAGCTTACTACTCTCCGAAAATTTCTTGTTGCACACAGTACACTCAAAAGGCTTCTCTCCAGTGTGCGTTAGGAGATGTTTACGCAGACTGCTGTCCAGCGAAAATTTATTGTTGCACACAGTACACTCAAAAGGCTTCTCTCCAGTGTGCGTTCGGAGATGTTTACGTAGACGGCTGCCCACCGAAAATTTCTTGTTGCACACAGTACACTCAAAAGGCTTCTCTCCAGTGTGCGTTAGGAGATGTTTACGCAGATTGCCACTCTCCGTAAATTTCTTGTTGCACACAGTACACTCAAAACGCTTTACTCCCGTGTGCGTTCGGAGATGTTTACGCAGACTGCCGCTCTCCGAAAATTTCTTGTTGCACACAGTACACTCGAAAGGCTTCTCTCCAGTGTGCATTCGAAGATGTGTGCGCAGACTGCTGCACACTGAAAATTTCTTGTTGCACACAGTGCACTCAAAAGGCTTCACTCCCGTGTGCGTAAGGAAATGTCTGCGCAGCTTACTACTCTCCGAAAATTTCTTGTTGCACACAGTACACTCAAAAGGCTTCTCGCCAGTGTTCGTTAGAAGATGAAGACATTCAGCCCCCGAATATTTTTTGTTACTAAGTGTGTCACCTCTCGCAAAGTTGTCGATGCAAACTGTACACTTAGACGGCTTATCTAATATGTGAGTGGGTTGATGTGCACAAAAATGACCATTTGTCGAAAACTTATCGTTGCACATAGTGCAATCAAAACGATCTTTCGTATGGATTTCGAGTTGCGTCCCCTTGTGCATTTTCATGTGATGGGCAAGCTGGATTTTGGATGAAAATTCCTCGGAGCACACAACACACCCAACGGGCACGCTGGCAGTGGAAAAGCACGTTTACTCTGAAAAGAAAAAGGAAACGAGCAGTAGAAATTGACACATAGTTATGAGCTCCGAGCGTAGATGTCCGAACCCTTGTTTATATCTAAATTCAATCACCCTACAGTTATTACTCTACGACAATCTAAGCACGATACAACCGGACCCTGGTGACGATGTTGGATCCCCCCCCCCCTGTCCCTTTCCCTGGGGTGCGCTTGTCCAAGCCTCCCTCACGCCGTCCCGCGACCCTCCCCGGCCGCATCGAGTGCAAGCAAACAGAAGTTCCTCCTCGGCCCTGCTCCGCACCGCTCCGCCCGCAAAGCTACTCTCGTGTGCGTGGGATGAAGCCCTATCAGGCGGTGCATTCCATCACGACGCAGGGCGTGGCGCGGCGTGGCGTGGCGGGGATCGAAATCATCGGAATGAGATCGCCTGCCCGCCCCGCCCCGCCGCGCCCCGCTCACAGCCGGACTGGGCTCGCCGAGGCGCGCGGCCGCTGATATCCAAACCGTCCGTTTCGGCCACCGGTGCGTATGCAATATGTAACGGAACCATACGAGAGGTGCCCCGGTGGGTGCGGTGCAGCAGCGGCAGTCGCCCGCGATTCACTTTTTATAAGGAAAGTATGCGAGCGAAAACAAGAAAAGAAAAAAATCGCAACAAAAGAAACGTAGAAACAACGCGTAAATAAGGCAATGCAAATATACGTGTGTCGGTCAAGCAGCGTGGCTACTCGGGTCGAGCGGGGCTCCAATATACAAACACACTCGCGCTGCTGCGGTCGCTGCGGTCCCGCGCGGGGCGCGCCGAGGAGGCCGCAACTGTGAGGGCGCAACTCGGCGAGTGGACGCGCCGAGATACGGCGGTGCGGCGGGGGCGCGCGAAAAACGGATCGGTTTGGTGGCGGGACTGCTACTCATCCTCAATGGGCGGGTGGGG